AAATATATCATGTGAATCACAACGCGGCATAGAACGCGTTACCACTTTGACCCGCTAAATTTGGCACACGGGTCCCACCTAAAAATTAGACCAAAGTTAAGAAAAAATTCTATTTTTACCCAGATTTTTTCAAAGCATTTCTAACATATACATCCCTTGTCTCTTTGTCTAGTGTCAATCTGAGTTTTTAACGAGTCTTTAGTGATTTATTATTGTGCTAAGAAGCAAGGGTGTGGCTACGGGTACGGGTATAATACGGGTATGCTGATATGATAAATTTTTTAAAAAAAAGTAAAGTACGGCAATTTTTATTTTTAAAATTTATAGTAAACATTTAGCATACAAATTAAAATTCAATAACATAATTAAAAGGAGAAATTACAAAAAAAAAAAGTAAATTATTTTTCAACAATACCAATACTAAAGTAAATTGACGAGCTATTTTAATGTCATTAAAAAAAAATAGAAAAGGGAATTTCATGCTAAAAACAAACTAACGCCAAAAATGAGCATTTTCATTCCCAATTTGATCACTGTCAATAGAAGGGACACTTGTAGAGGCACTTGCATTTGACCCTATACTTCCTGATGAACTCATATTCTTACAATATAAATTATATAACCATTTAACAAAATAATTTGTGAATTTTTTCACTTCATTGGAGTATATAATTTTTCAAATATTTATATAACAACTTTAGGCATGCAAGTTGCATGAAAAAAAGGCTTGCAAGTTGCTAAAATTCCAGTGGCTGTGGGTCATTCTAGTATAGTGGATCATTCTAACAATTTAAATAACAATTTTTTCACTTCTAGTGTCATTCTAGACTTGCAAGTTACATGAAAAAAATATATACATATATCGGGGGGAAAAAAATAAAGGAGAGTTCAAGAAAGAGGAAGAAGAATCGAATCAAAGAAAGAAAAAATAAAAAAAACGAAGGGAAAAAAAAAGGATAGATTTGTTTGCTGCTTAAAACAAATCTGAAAAAAAGAAAGATAGAGGAAGAAGAATCAAAGAAAATGAACCAAAAAAACAGAGGATCGACTGTTCATTTGCCGCAAAAAAAGACAAAAAACATCTGGAAAAAAAAAATGAAAGAAAGAGGAAGAAGAATCGAAGAAGAAGAGGAGGAAGAATCGAAGAACAACTCACTAGATTGTGTTCTTCGAAGGAGTGAATCAGCACCTTCTTGGAGCCGGTCGTTTTCTCTCTTCTTGAGCCGATTGTATTTCTTTGAAGGAGGTATTGAATAGAACAAGTAATCCTAATTTCATTTGTTTCATGTTTTAGTTATTACAAAAGAACCCTAAATTTTTTTAAATAGACCAAAACAATTGCTTCAGTACTCTTAAAATTGCAGAAAAATTTGTTTTTACCTCGATGTACCCATCGTGTACCTGGATTATACAGACCGTATAAAACGTACCCGGTGCGTATTTGCTGTACCCAGTATGCGTATAGCCGTACCGATATGCGTTCCCATACCTAGTAAGTACCCGGTACGTGTACGGAAATATTTTTGGAGTACCTGTACTTCATAGTTATTATGTGATTGATGCTTGACAAAAATGTGAAGACTTATTTTACCAGACTTGGGATAGGAGGCAATTGTAAACAATTTTGACGATCTAATTTCTTATCTGATGCATATTGTTTTCACAAAAGGCAAGCCTGATTTTGCAACCATGCATCATGAATTTTTGAATTTCTATTGCTTAGCCCTGTTAGTAAGAAAAACACAAGCCCTGCCCTGATCGCCCATTTTTGTTTATGGGAAAACTAACACTATTTTTTATTTGTGATTTTATTTTAATGTGCTTTTGGAGAAATCTCAACTACTTTTTGTTAGGAAATATTACCATTAACAAATGTTCCTTAAACTAAATCTTTTAGATATATTGTCATCGTTCTAATAGGGGTCGCATTATTTATTTTATTTTTATTTTTGATCAACAATGACAAGATATTTCATTACAATGAAAAAAAGAGGTACAAAGAGAACAAAATGTCTTCTTATACAATGTGAATAACCATGATAAAACTTGTCAAACAAAAGAAATCAAGATTCACAAACAGCTTTCTAATCTTTAGTGTTATGAAAGTAGTAAGAGAAGAGAAAAAAGAAACTCTATATTGAATGAATTAATCAAATACAAAAAGCCTATATTTATAGGCTGAGAAGAAACCTATGTAAGTGTAAAAAAGAAGATAGAGATACATCAGAGATAGGTATAGAAAAAGAGATGAGATACAACTACAATACAGATAGATAAATATTAAATAATATATATATATATATATCTAACGCCCCCCTCAAGCTCAAGATGGTAAGTCATATATCAACTTGAGCTTGGAGAGGAGATCAGAGAAGCGTCTTGGAAGATGAGCTTTGGTGAAGAGGTCGGCAGTCTGATCAGCAGAGGTAACAAAGAGAAGACGAACAAGGCCATTAGTAACATGCTGTCGTATGAAGTGGCAATCGATCTCAATATGGAGGCGCATGAGGGCGCGTGGAAGTTCCTATGGAGGTGAGTCCGGTGGCGTTGGCTTCGTCTTGAAGAGACGAAGGGGTTGGTATAGTCCAAACATGGAAATACGGATGAACTAGATATGCACAAGCCAGCAGAAACAAACAAGGGATAGAAGCAATCTGCCAAAAAGAACGTGAGAAAAAAAAAAGGCTAGAAAAAAATCCTAGGCTCTGATACCATGTTATGAAAGTAGTGAGAGAAGAGAAAGAAGAAACTCTATATTGAATGAATTAATCAAATACAAGAAGCCTGTATTATGCTATGAAAGTAGTGAGAGAAGAGAAAGAAGAAACTCTATATTGAATTAATTAATCAAATACAAGAAGCCTGTCTTTATAGGCTGAGAAGAAACCTAGATAAGTGTAGAAAAGAAGATAGAGATACATCAGAGATAGGTATAGAAAAAGAGATGAGATACAACTACAATACAGATAGATAAATATTAAATAATATATCTATATCTAACACCCCCCTCAAGCTCAAGATGGTAAGTCATATATCAACTTGAGCTTGGAGAGGAGATCAGAGATGCGTCTTGGAAGCTGAGCTTTGGTGAAGAAATCGACAGTCTGATCAGCAAGATGAGCTTTCGTGAAGAGGTCGGCAGTCTGATCAGCAGAGGTAACAAAGAGAAGATGAACAAGGCCATTAATAACATGCTGTCGTATGAAGTGGCAATCGATCTCAATATGGAGGCGCATGAGGGCTCGTGGAAGTTCCTATGGAGGCGAGTCTGGTGGCGTTAGCTTCGTCTTGAAGAGACGAAGGGGTTGGTATAGTCCAAACGTGGAAATATGGATGAACTAGATACGTACAAGCCAGCAGAAACAAACAAGGGACCGAAGCAATCTGCCAAAAAGAACGTGAGGAAAAAAAAAGGCTAGGAAAGAATCCTAGGCTCTGATACCATGTTATGAAAGTAATGAGAGAAGCGAAAGAATAAACTCTATATTGAATGAATTAATCAAATACAAGAAGATTGTATTTATAGGCTGAGAAGAAACCTAGATAAGTGTAGAAAAGAAGATAGAGATACATCAGAGATAGGTATAGAAAAAGAGATGAGATACCACTACAATACAGATAGATAAATATTAAATAATATATATTTAACATTTAGAAATCAAAAGAAGCGGAACCCTTTAAACAGAGAAGGGACGTGAGCCCCATGTTAATTGGCTGAATAACTTTGAAGTGTTTGAATGGTTACTGAATTTTCCTCACGTGAAAGAAAGGAAATGGATTTGATCATTGGAGCATTAAATAAAGTTACTATTACTCCATTGACTTTCCAAGACAAAAGCAGTAAATGAGGCATGGCATGGCTAGTGACAAGGTGAAGATTCAGCAGCCAACACATCCTAGTTTTTGTACTACAACTCTTTATTATGGAAAAGGTTGCAGATTGGTTTCAGACAAAAATCAATTAGCTTCTCAGTGCCAACCTCTACTAAATATCCCATTTGGGGACTTGCTAAGGCATTGAAGTATTGAGTTAATTGAGAATTCATCTGTTTGTTTCGGCAATTATTTGTGAGTAATGTATAATCATATTTGAGTGGAGTGAGATTGAGAGATACACCATTATAGCTCTTAGAGCATTTGTTTTTGTTTGATAGTGAAAACTATGGAATTGTGCGTGGATGTAGGCTAGGCCGAACCACATCATTCTCTGGTGTCTTGTGTGGCTATCTTTGTTCTCACTATTTTAATATTTGTTTGTATTCTTGTTCTCAATTTACATAACCATCATCAACCTTGGTGTGGTTGAGTTTTTAGAGGCTCTTCGCACAACACCCCAAACAAAGCCAAATGACACACTCTCTCCCAAATTTAATCCAAATTTGCGACCTTATTCTCAAAGATCCTCACATTCCTTTCCAACTAAACAACCCAAAAGATCGCAAAGACAACACAATTGAACAATGTTTTTGCTTTCTTGTTGCTGCCAAAACCCCGGAAATCAATTAAAAGCATACTAGCGCAAGCACCTAGAGCCATCCGATGTGTATCAATCAAACAAAATAGCCGATCCAATAAATTCAAAGCAACGGAACAATGCAAGAATAAATGATCTACCGATTCCTCATCCCTCCTATGTCTTGGCTACTCAGCTTATCCATAGCTTGCTTCTATGTGGAAGCAAATATTTTGCTTCCAGATTCTGTTTTCTGTAACAAATGGCTGCATGGATGTGTTTATGTGGTGGTTTTTGGTCTCTCCTTGTTCATGTGCATGCATGCTTGACTTTTTTTTTTGGGTACATCGGAAAGTAAAAAGAAACAAACAAGGACTAAGCCCCAGAACCCTCCTTAGAGAGGTGAACAATGTCCTCGACTAACAAAGGCCGAAATTCTGCAGGTGGGTCTTGAACAATAAGTAGCTCCGCTGGTTGATATTCACCTAGCTTAGCCATGGCATTAGTACAAATGTTAGCTTCCCTTCTAATATGCTGGATGGTGCAGTCACAACCGCGCATAATAATACGAGCATCTTCCACAATGCCCCAAAAAAGGGCACCTCTCTCCTAAATCTTCACTCAGCAGTTGAACCACTTGCTCCGCATCCGTTTCCAGAATCACTTGATTGAATCCTCTTTGGAGTATTATGGTAAGCCCTTTATAGACAGCCCAAAGTTCGGCTTTAAGGCTAGTGTATATCTCAACTCTGCCATAATATCCACTAATCCATGACCCTGTTTCATCGCGGAATAGTCCACCAAATCCGCCACCACCTCCAAGCCTGCGAGTGCTACCATCTGTGTTAAGCTTGAGTTTTCCTGCATTTGGACAAGACCACATAGTTAGACTCTTAGGTTTAATATGTGCTGTGACATCTAGATTAAAAGCATGAAAAATCTCTTTGCTATAGTCTAAAATAGATTTCACGCTCTCATAAATGTTTGTAAATTTATGTTCAAAAACCCTTTTGTTACGGTTCTTCCAAATAATCCACAATGAAATAATGAATAAGTTAGAATTTTTGTGCTTCCCTTTCACATTTCGAATGATCCACTCTCTTCTTTCCAAGGTAGAGATAGCATGTTGGAATGCCATTCCCTGCTAAAGACTTGGTACCATATCTGTATAGCTAGAGGCCAGAGCCTAAACAGAGCCTAAACAAATGTTTAATGTCTTCCATATTCACACAATGTGGGCATTTGGGGTCATTTGTGAGACCCCTCATGGTTCTCTTATGGTTAGTGAGGAGCTTTCCATGGAGAACAAGCCACAAGAAGCTCTTAAGTTTTGAAGGAACTTTAAGTTTCCAAATCCAGCCCCAATCCCCCACTTGATTTTGTTTATCAACAATTAATTCATACGCACTTGATGTAGAGACTCTTCATCAGAGGATTTCATCCATCTGGGAGTGTCTTCTCCAACATTGGTTTGGAGGGGTTGTAATTTTAAAATTTCTTCAACCATATTCAAAGGGAAGGAGGTGTGTATAGGATTTAAATCCCATTCACCATTTTCATCAAGGAGGGAGTCCACAGTGATAGCCTCAAAATTTGGAATTTGATTGGTGGGTGATTGCAAATCCTTATCAAATGCCCCATCACCACACCACCAATCTTTCCAAACTCTCACTTTGGATCCTCTTCCCAACTTCCATCTAATTCCCTTAACCAAGAGATCCCTGGTATTCAAAATACCTTTCCAGGTATGTGATATGCTCTTGCCTTTCCCCTTGGATAGAAAGGGTTGTTGGCCCAAATACTTAGTTTTGAGCACTTCCACCCAAAGAGTATTATCCTCATTTAACATTTTCCACCCCAGGTTAGATAGAAGGGCTAGATTGGTATCTCTAGCCTTTCGGAGACCAAGGCCACCGTCTTTTTTCAGCTTACAAACCTGGTCCCAATTTGCTAGATGCACTTTCCTTTTCTCGCGGGTATCACCCCAAAGAAAGTTTCTATTAATTTTATCAATCTCATCACAAACTTTCCTCGGGAGTTCCATAGTGTGCATGGCATAAGCTGGCATGGCACTAGTAACAGATTGTATTAAGGTTGCCCTCCCAGCCAGGGACAACATTCCAGATTTCCACCCGGTTAGTTTACTCTTAAGCTTTTCCAAAATATTTAGAAAATGACTTTTGCTAACTCTATCATGAAGTAAAGGAACCCCAAGGTACTTTCCCAAATTTTGAGTTAAGGGGATACTACTCATATTGCTTAATTGCAAAGCTCTTCTCCTATTAATATTAGGAGACACAAATAGATGGGATTCATGTAAATTAACCTTCAAGCCAGAAATGGCACTAAACTCAGTCAAGACTTGCAAAATGGTGTGACAATTTCGATCATTTGCTTTAGCAAATAGAATCAAATCATCCGTAAAAAATAAGTGTGATATAGTAGGACCACTCTTAGCCAAGCAAAGCCCATTCCATTCTTTTTCTTGCACTTTTTGCGTAATCATGGCAGAAAGTCTTTCCATGCATAACACAAAAAGATACGGGGATAAAGAGTCCCCTTGACGTAAACCTTTTGCAGGTTTGAACTCATCAAGGGGTTCTCCATTCCATAAGATAGCCGTACTCACACTTGTGACACAATTCATAATCATAGTCACCAATTTCTCATCAAAGTGAAATTCCAACAGAGTTTGGCGCAGGAAATTCCAAGAAATATTATCATATGCCTTTTCAAGATCAACTTTAAAAATCATGAACCCAATTTTTCCTTTTTTCTTATTCACAGTATGAATTGCTTCTTGAGTGATGATGATATTATCATGTGTAGATCTACCTGGAATAAAGCTACTTTGGTTAGGGCTAATGATATCACTCAAAATAGGACGAATTCTATTGACAAGGATTTTGGATATGATTTTATAAGTCACATTACACAGGCTGATTGGGCGGAACTGCTACACATTTTCGGGGTTATCAACTTTAGGGATAAGAGCAACAAGAGTTCTATTGATCTTAGGGGGAATATTAGAGGAGGAAAAACAATGTTGAACAAATTCAGTCACAAATTGGCCTACAATTCCCCAAAAGGTATGATAAAAGATAGCTTGGTACCCATCACGACCTGGAGCCTTAAAAGCTTTAATGTTTTTGACTGCTCTCCAGATATCAGGGGCAGAGAGCTCCCTAATCATATCTAGTTGATCATCAACATTAATGTGCTTGGTCAGATTATTCCAATGATGAAGATTACTAATAGGAGTATGAGCAAAAATATTCTGAAAATATGCCTGCACTAATTTTTTAAGCTCAATAGGGTTATCAATCCTAACCCCCTCCTTATTTTTCAAAACAACAATTTTGGTTTTCCGTCTTTTAATAATGGTAGACATGTAGAAAAATTTTGTATTTCGTTCACCCTGAGTTATCTAGTTAGCACGTGATTTTTGAAACCAAAATAGTTCTTCTTGGTACAAAATTCTATTATACTCAGTAGTAAGCTCACTTTCCAGTTGATGAAGATTGTGAGAATAATGATTGGCTTAAGAAATTTGAATTCTATTAATTCTTCCAAGTAGCCAACGTTTACGTCTAAAAATATTTCCAAAAACATTTTTGTTCCAATCCTGCACAGTAGAGGTTAAGTGATCCAAATTTCCCAGTAAATTGTTTTGAGGCCTGGGCCAATTCTTCTCAACAATAGCACTAAATCCCTCATGAGCTAACCAAACAGCTTGGAATTTAAAAGGACTTGAATAAAGGAGTAGAACTATTAGTACCTTGAGTATGTAGAAGAAGAGGCGAGTGATCCGAGTATGTACGAGGCAAGTTTCTGACATACCCTTCTGGGAACAAAGTTCTCCATTCGGTGTTACAGAGGGCACGATCCAGTCGAACCATAGTATTTGCCCATCCTTTTCGATTGTTGGTCCAAGTGAGCCTAGGACCAACACAGCCTAAATCCATAAGGTTGCATCTGTTAACTTTATCCATGAATTTCTGGCTCCTTTGTTGGCACTGACTGATATTTGGATTTAGATTAACTGGGAAGCTTTTTTTTTTCCTCAGAACTGGAGTAGTCATTAAAGTCCCCTGCTACGAGCCACGGTTCCTGAATATTTTGAGCAATGTCTTCCAAGCCATTCCATAGTTCCTCTCTCATTCGGATATTAGGACTAGCATAGACTGTAGATAGGACCCAGTCAAGATACTCTTGTCTTGATATAGTAGCTGTAATCATCTGGGAAGTTGCATCATGAACTCGAACGTTAGCTTGACTAGGATTCCATAATATCCAAATTCCTCCACTTCGGCCAATCGGATCGACATGAGTGGAAGCCGTATACCCCAGATTGTTAAAAAACATGCCCATTGTGTGTAGTTCCACTTTTGTCTCCATAAGTACTAACATGTCGGGTTTGTGTAAACTTACCAATTCCCGCAACGTTCTTCGGAATCTAGCATTACCCGTACCTCTGCAATTCCATATTATCATATCCATAGCTGACATTTTGAGGCTTGGCCACTCCTCTGTCTTAGACAGCCCCAATATATTTCGTACACTCAGCTGGTCGTCCTTCAATGGTCTCGTCGGTTTCACATGCACCATGTGGCTCACATTGTGCGAATCTATCTCCCACCATGGTTGTATCAGAAGCTTCACCTCTTCGAGCCACCAATCGATTCCGACGCGGTGATAAGCTTCTTTCTCGAGTTCTAAGAATATCAGTGCTCTAAACTGGTCCACTCAATGTTCTGCCATTAAAATGGTCTCTGCAATTTCCTCCATTATTTCTTGTTTCTTGTCGCCCGCTCAAATCTGGTGGTTTACATCTTCTACTTTTCAGTCGATTGTCTTGGGCTGTTATGGCAGTCTTGGTAGTGGTATTACTGGAGGCGTTAGAGGAGACGACAGTGGGGAGGGTGTTAGGGTTTTCTTGTTTATGTTGTTCCCTTGGGCTAGGCTTTGGATCTTCATGGGTGTTAAGAGGTTGGTTGACATGGTACTTCTCCCATTTGTCCCGAGGCCCAGAGTGAAGGTCTCTTCCTAACTGTGGCCTTACATCCTCCACTGATTTGGGCAGATCCATGTCCATTACTTGGGCAAGTTGCATTGAAGTGGATTAGGGTACTAGATCAAGGTCTACATATTTCTCCTGGGCTTCTTTTGTTTTCGGATCTCTACTGGTTTCCCCATGGTCTTGGTCCATTGGTAAGCCTGCAAATCGATTACTCTTATAAGAGTGGGCCTTTTGCTTGAATTTCCCTTGTTGAAATTTTCTTTTAGTGGTGACTGGAGTCCATGGCCCATAACCACAAGTCTCTGCCTCAGTACAGACTTCCTTCTTCTTTGGCCCAGTGGTTTTGATGTTCCTAGCCCATAATCAGTTTCTGTTTGGCTAACGTTCACATTTTGTGTCGTCTTCTCCGGTTGCATCACCGGAAATTCAAAACACTTCTTTTTCCGATAACCAACCCGGCCACACGAAAAGCACAGCAAGTGTAGGTGTTCATATTCTACAATGTAATGATATCTGCCAATGGTGAGATGTGATATAAGCGATTTACGCAGGTCCATCTCAATACATACTCGGGCATACTTCCCACGTGCTACCATTGCAGTGTTAATGTCAATCTTTAACGATTTACCAAGCACCTTCGATATATGGTAAAGGACTTTTTCATCATAGTATTCAATAGGGAGATTAGGGAATCTAACCCAGATTGCGGTTGTGTCCTCCTCTGCTTCATCCGATTTAAAATCGGCTTGCCATTTAGGAACTGTCACATACCGGTCCATCATTACCCATGGTCCTTCCATGTATACTTTGGAATAGTCCTCCATCATTTCAAATTGCACTATGAAGAAGCCATGTCCGATGTCTAGAGTTTTGAAATCTGCTTGAGGATTCCAAAGCTTCTGCATACGATTCACTAATAGATTATAGCCAATATTCTTGCCCAAGATTCTCACAATGAGGCACTTTTGCCATGGTTCTCTAACTTTTTTGAGAAGCCCAGCCGGTATTGCTAGGCCGGGGCTTAAACACTGATCACCGTCCCCGGCCTGAAACAGATCGGGGATTGATTTTCAGATACCGTCTTCTTCCCGTCTGGGGTATTTTTCGGGGAAAAATCGCTTAAATCGGGATCGGGATCGGGGATCCCCGTCGGGTCGGTTTCAAATTGCCATCCCTATCTACATATTTCTCTTGGGCTTCTTTTATTTTCGGATCTCCACTGGTTTCCCCATGGTCTTGGTCCATTGGTAAGCCTGCAAATCGATTACTCTTATAAGAGTGGGCCTTTTCCTTTGTTGAAATTTTCTTTTAGTGGTAACTGGAGTCCATGGCCCATAACCACAAGTCTCTGCTTCAGTACAGACTTCCTTCTTCTTTGGCCCAGTGGTTTTGATGTTCCTAGCCCATAATCAGTTTCTGCTTGGCTAACGGTCATATTTTGTATCGTCTTCTCCGGTTGCATCACCGGAAATTCAAAACACTTCTTTTTCCGATGACCAACCCGGCCACACAAAAAGCACAGCAGGTGTAGGTGTTTATATTCTACAATGTAATGATATCTGCCAATGGTGAGATGTGATATGAGCGGTTTACGCAGGTCCATCTCAATACATACTCGGGCATACTTCCCACGTGCTACCATTGCAGTGTTAATGTCAATCTTTAACGATTTACCAAGCACCTTCGATATATGGTAAAGGAATTTTTCATCATAGTATTCAATAGGGAGATTAGGGAATCTAACCCAGATTGCGGTTGTGTCATCCTTTGCGTCATCCGATTTAAAATCGGCTTGCCATTTACGAACTGTCACATACCGGTCCATCATTACCCATGGTCCTCCCATGTATACTTTGGAATAGTCCTCCATCATTTCAAATTGCACTATGAAGAAGCCATGTCCGATGTCTAGAGTTTCGAAATCTGCTTGAGGATTCCAAAGCTTCTGCATACGATTCACTAATAGATTATAGCCAATATTCTTGCCCAAGATTCTCACAATGAGGCACTTTTGCCATGGTTCTCTAACTTTTTTGAGAAGCACAGCAGGTATTTTAATGACCAGATTTGAATTGGTCCTTTTGTACTTCGAATGATCCTCTGCCTCTTCATCTTTTTCCATTTCCTCATCAAAGGAGAGATAGGCCTCCTCACATTCAAAATTTCGTTCTCTCTTATTCTCATTGAATCGAGATTTCAAGAGAGCTTGTTTGAAAGATTTATGGGCTCCCAAATCCAGTTCCTGTTCCTGAACGTTGGGGTCATTTTGAGCTGCTAATTCCTTCACCATTCTCTCGTCTGGTTTCTCCAGTGGGTTATGTTGGTTCTTCAGCAGTTCCTCAACCGACGTGTCCATTTGTTTCACCTTTTTCTTGCTCCGATCAAGATGGTCTTGTTCTTCTGACGAGGTTGCGTGGTTTACAGCTTCAACGGTCATATTTTAGAGAGAGAAAATTTCACCATTGGCGGGTGCTTTTGGGCATGCATGCTTGACTCATTTGTTGTTTTGTTGTCAACCTAAATTAGTGACCTGGAAAAACACCTGGATAGGAGGTAAACATTAGAATGACCAGTTTCATCCACTTATTTCTGCTTCTCATTATAATTGAAATGAATCTTGTTACATGGATTCTTGAAAGTACTTCCACTATGATTCAGCGACACTTTCATTTATCCTTGGCCAATGACCTCCTAGATTTATATGAAACTGTAATTAAGTGTCATTACTTTATTTGGTTGGCAGGAACAAGGCATAGCAATTCTTAATAAAGCAATAGCAGCTTGATCTGAAGAAATAGCACGTCACAAGGGAAAACTTATTGTAAAGGAGGCAGCCAGAGCAATAAGAATCAATTCCATTTTATTCATTATTAATCTTGTTTGCTATTTGTTTTCGTCTTGAGTCCAGTCAATCTTTTCAGGTCCTGAGATTTTAAAAAAAATTATCCTTAGCCCATAAATCCTCTCTCTCTCTCTCTCTCTCTCTTTCTCTCTCTCTCTCTCCCATTGTGTATCTCATTGGGTGATGGTACATTGATTCAGGTGAGTGAACGGGAAATAAACAACTTGCTGAACATATGGCTAAGCTGGGTCGTGCAAATGAAGAGGTCAGTGGCGATGAAGACAGTAAAGAGGAGGAAGATATATGGAAGATATTGACTTGGAAAACTCAGGTGCTGGGTTAACAGAGTGAAAATGCAGCCTTAGGCAATGACTGAACCTGTGTATACAAACTTGTATCAAAGTAACCAACCATGATAGCTGGTTATTTGGCATATGTTGAGCAGTTTTTCTCTAGCCAATGTGATGTTTGATTGAAATATTTCTCTGTTTTTCCGTTGTGTGGACAATTCGATGCCCCAGCCTATTAATCTCTCTCTCTCCCTCTCTCTCTCTCTCCATGCACGTGCATGCCAGCTTCTGGAAGATGAGCGTGCATGGAGAGAAAGAACAACTGGTATTTACTTATTTTGTTTTATTTGTAGCTGCATTCCTAGCCATTGTAATTAGATTTGGTGATTCTGAAACTAGTTTGCTTGAATGACTAATTTTATGGTGGTATCTATGATGGAGAAGTTTGGAATGGTTTTTGTGTTGATGATAGAGACGATGTAAAACATGGAGACCATGAACAATGCAGTTTAAGTGTGACAATTCTGAAAAACAATGAGGTGACTTGTCAAATTAATTGATATGAAGGACTGTTTCTATTAGTTCTAACAAATATGAAAATGCCACTTTGTTAACCCAATTCTGGAAAAGAAAAATCAAATAAAATTAAGAGAAAATGCAAATTTTCATGTCAATATATAACAGCTCTTATAAGGCCTTACATATTGGTTTAGTAGTGTTTGTGGATAATAATTATTGGGATTAATTATATATTTTCACCCATATAATTTGACTTGAATTTCACTACAGTACCTATTGTTTTAATTTGAACAATTTAATTTTTAAATTCTAAGTCTAGTTTTATTTTGGTCTTTTCTTCCAAATTTTTATTATTTTTTTTTTTTATGTACATCTTAAGAGATTGACAAATATTTCAAAACTGTTAGTTTTAATCTCTAAATTGAACGGAAGGACTAACGCTCTATTTGTTTGGGTGGAAAATATTAAAAAAATATTTTCTAGAGAAAACATTTTTCTATGTTTGGTGGTGGTGGGGGTGGTGAAACGAAGGTAAAGATGAAGGTGGAGGTGGAGGTGGTGGTGGTGGTGGCATGGTAGTAGGGCAGCGGTGGCGGTAATAGCAATGATGATGGTGGTAGTGGTTGTGATGATGGTGGTGTGGTAGTAGAGGTAAAAGTGGCGGTGATAGTGTGGTGATATTGGTAAAATTTTAGTTCAAAAAATATTTTTCGCCTTTTAAAAGTGAAAAACATTTTTTTTGCATATGGGCTTATTTTCTGTTAATCATGAAAAATATTTTCTGTTAACTTTTATTTTTTATTGTATTAAACACAAAAAAATATTTTTC